TACAGATAGCTTGGGGTTAGAATAAGATTAACATAGCTTCACGTAATTACACCTATCTGCCACAGTTAATTTATGTACTGTGGCATTTTAATCAAATGAGTGTATCAAATGAGGTTCATTACTGCTCTTCAAAGTGAAGAAAGAACGACTGAAAAATGTGTGACATTCTGTTTGATAATGTCCAGTGTCCTGTCTTATTACAAGTTATTGATTTTCCTGTTTGGAAAACATTATTTAAGGAAAATAAATGGTGAGAATTATGTATTTTAGTTTTTACTTATTATGATGTCAGGACTGTCTAATCTTAACAATTTCCTCTGTCGTTCTGTTGAAAAATAAGAGATAAACAAGGAACTGAATGCAGCTTTTGCTTCAGTACAGTTAATAGTCACTGGCTTCTGTCTTAGACTTTCCAGATTAGAAGGAGAAGGGAAAAGCCAAACATAAATTGCCAAAACATATTTTAAAAGCAGTTCTACTGATTTTTTTATGCACATCTGCAGAAAGGACATCATACATTGCTTAAACATCTTGATATGCCCTTATTTGACCAACGCCCACATAATTTTTTCTTGATTTTCTTGATTTCCAATTCAAGAGGGCACTTCAGCTTGTGCTGACTCCAGCTTGTGCTGGACTTTTACTGTACAGAACAAATAGATGTCAGTTTATGTGTGTGCATGAGCTGACTGTAATAAGAATCTTGAAGCAGTGTTAGCTGTGAGGTGTTTTAAAGATGTTACATATTACAAATGAAGCTGTGTCGGGGGGGGGATCAGGTTGGGTTCTTCAAAAAGCAATAGTTCATGACCAGAGGGGGGTGGGCAAGGAACAGGCTGCCCAGGGCAGTGTGCACAGCTCCAAGCTGCTGGAGCTCAAGGAGCATTTGGACAAGGTTTTCAGATACAGTGTTTGGATTTTGGGTGATCCTGAATGGAGGGAAGAACTGCTCTTGATGATCTTTCTGAGTACTTTACATCTCAGGATATTCTATGATTCTATGAAATAAAAAGGAATAGGTGATCAGAGATTGAGGTATGTAAAATAGGCAATAGTATATTTCACATGTCTTTTGATGCTGACCCAAGAGTTGGACAAGGACAAGAGTTCACACCAGCTTAAACATGAACCAGCAATGTTTTCTTGCAGTTAAGAAGGTCAGCAGCCTCCTGAACTATTAGGCAGATAAGTGACATTATCCTTCCACTCTACTCAGCACTGGTGAGTACATCTTGAGCTTCATTTCAAGTTCTGAGCTCCCCCGTGTAAGAGAGACATAGACATGCTGGAGCACAAACACAAAAATGCTTAAGGGTCTGGAGCATCTCTTCTATAAGGAGAGGCTGAAAGAGTTGGGACTCTTCAGCCTGGAGGAGGCTTGGGAATCTTATCGATAGGCATAAATACCTGCTAGGGGGAAATTAAGATCAAAGCTGACTCTTCTCAGTTACATACAGTGACACGACAGTGGTCACAAACTGAAGTACTTCAGGTTCCATCTGAACAAAAGAAAAAAACACATCTACTGTGAGAGAGTATGAACACTGGCATGGGTTGCCTAGGGATACTGAGGAGTTTCCTCCTTGAAGATAAGCAAAACAAGACGGGGCATTGCTCTCATTGACTGCATGAGCAGAGGGAATGAGCTAAGCCAGATTTTGGAGATGCTTTCCAGTCTCAGCTATTCTTTGATTTCCTGATTCCATGAAGACAGTCAAATCTGTAAAGATACTTTTGTTGTACTTCATTACACTTGCACAGTTGTCTGTTGATAAGACATGAAAGTTAACCCACTTTTATCATTGAACTTTTTAAAATTCTGTGTGAATATTTTTCTTAAGCTTATGCAGAATTTTCACAGTCTAGAAAAAGCCACAGTTGGGAGACTTGCTGTCTTTATGGAGATGAGAGGCATAAAATAAGTGGTTTTTTACAATAAATGCAAAAATAAAGATTTTCAAGTTCAAATTACAGTTTCAAAGCACTTAAGATGGAAGGATCCTCTGCAGATTATCATCTGTATAACATACTGGTGCAAGGGCATTCCTCTGCAGTGGAAAAAGATAAATTCCTCCATTTCTGTGGGCTGCCTATTCCAATATTTAGCTGTTCTTCCAGTGAAGGATGTCTTTCTTACATCCAGAATGAATTTCTCCTGAAGCAGCTTTTCCCTTGTCCTGTAACCAGATGTAGTGGTAAAGTGAGCATCTCCATCATCTTTGTAGCTTCTTTTTAGATATTGGCAGATAATTATTGTAAAATGACTTTAATTGGCCCTGCTGCCGCCTCTTTTTTGATGCAGCCCAGCATACTGTCATCCTTTGGGGCTGCAGGCATGCACTGCTGGCTCATGTTCAACTTCTTACCCATGAAGACCTTCTAAAAGACCTTCTCAAGCCCTTCTCACCTGGGCTGCTTTTGAGGCTTTCTTCTTCCAGTCTGTACACACACCTGGAATCGTCTCAACTGAAGTGTAGCACCTTACTCTTGGCCTTTGACCCTTGTGATTCCACTTTTCAAGCCTGTCCAGGTCCTTCTGGATTATACCCCTTCCTTCTGTTGTATCAACTGTACCACTCTGTCATCAGCAAACTTGCTGAGGGTGCATTCAATCTCACTGTCTGTGTCATTGAGAAATATATTAAAGAGCACCTGTCCAAAGACTGGTGAGGGACATCACTCATCACTGGCCCTGGCTGGTCATGGAGCTGTTGACTGCAACCCTCCAACTCCAACCATCCACCCAATTTTTATCCTTTGAATAGTCCACCCTTCAGTTCCATATCTCTCCAATTTGGAGATAAGGATGTGGTGTGGGACCATGTCAGAGGCCACTCTGATCGCTCTGAACCTTCTTTTCGTTGTGGACTAAACACATTTTCTTGTATCTCTCTTCATATGTCTGATTCTGTAACCAAATCATCTTTGGTGGCTCTTTGCTGGACCATCTGCACTTTTTCTTCCTATTGAACGTGGGGAATTTAACACTGTATTGCCTGCATGATGGGTGTTTCTTCTGGTAAGGTTTAGTAGCATAATAAGATTTTTCTAGAACTCTCTGAGGAACCCTCATATCTAGTTATAGGAATCAAAATAGGCTTCCTGGAGGCTAAAGAGATGTAAATCTCTTTTTTATTATTTTTCAATGTAATGTAGAAGGGGATTTGTCCCAAGGTTAACATAAAGTATAATAGATTTGAACCTATTTCGGCTAGAGTCAAGGGTTGTTCAGCCACTAACTGTAATGGAATGAGGGAATAGCAGGCAATTTTATGGAAGATGTCCTGAACTAGGATTTTTCATGGTTGTACTAAGAAAACCACTCAGTCTCCTGTGAAACACAGAGAACCGCAGGACAACCCAGAATGAAAAATCAACTCTGCCAAAGGCTTTTACAGAAGTCCCCAGGAAAACAAATATTTTTGTAGATAGAATGCTTCTTTCTAGCTGAGAGAAAACACATGTATTTTTATGTTGAGAATTGCTCTTATATTTTTCTTCTGGAGGACTGTGCAAATTGCCATAGCAAACACAGATCTTGTTATATGACATTTATCCGTGACCTTAATACTGCATTTTTGAAGGCTAAGACTTGCCTAAGTAAGTATCTGTATTAAATTTTTGTAGGAAAACTTGGAAGATGACAGTTAAGAAATCTTAGTAGTGATCAGTGCTCTTAAAAAAGAATGGTCTTCCTCTTCAGGAAGATTGAATGACTAGCAGGGACTTTTTAGTCCGTGTTCTAGGTTTTTGGCAAGATGCAGAGAATATTAAAATATTACCTACTTCTTTTCTGCTGTATAAGGAGGAATAGGAGTGGACCCTCAAGCCCTGAGGCCAGTGGTTTCCCGCTCCAGCCTTATCTGAGATTGATTTCATGCTGGAAATGGTTGAAAAAAGAGCCAAGAAGACTCCTCACAGGCTTGGTGGATGATTGAGGCTTCAGTGCTTGGACTATATCCTTGAGCCTCTTTTATTTATAATACAGATACATTCCATTGATTTCAACCTTCTCAGTGTTTGTCTGTAGCAGGAGAAAGTAGAGACAGAAGTGTCACTGATTGGGTGTTGAATTTATGATGGACCTTAGATCAGTTGTTCACAGGCTCTGATGGAAAGATGTCAAAAGTAGTAGTATCTTCTGTCAAAGAGAAACCAATAGTGTTGATTTATAGAAGGAAAGTAAAGAATCTTTGAGGAATAATGCTTATCCTGTTCATGTGTGAAATCATTCGGTGTCTCAGCAGAAGTTGTCCAGCCACTGAGTTTGAGCTCTCCCTGTGGCTGACAAGGAGTGGAACTGAGAAGGCTCCTCAGTCCTTTGACATGGCTTGACTGGAGGTTTCTAGATATCATGGTGTAAATAAGACTGTAAATAACAATTCCTTTGTTGATAGTTACATTTAAGTAGCCCTGAGGTGAGGTTATAAGTGTAAAGTGAGAGTATAGAGGCTGCAAAGTGATTTTATTGTATGTCATGCACTCTGATGTTTTTCCTTTGCAGGCTCTAAGCTCTTCTGAAGGGCACCAAAATCTCAGTTTTAATATAGAAGAAAGCAACAGTTGTATGAGAGTGATCAGCTTGAAATTATGAGCCCCAAAAAACCAGAAATCTCTAAATAGGAAGATGTTTCTTTAAATGCCTTGATTTTGGGATGATGGGGCAGTTCCTGATGTGGAATGATAAGGGTTGGCAGTAGGAGAAGTACTTCTGTAGTGCTGTATTCTTGTTTGATACCATTGCTGAGTAATGCTTAGTGAAGTGGTTGCTCCAAATGGCACATCCAGGCAAAAGCGATCCCACACTCTTCTGTAAACAATTGAGTGGAGGAACCATACTGGTGCTAGACCTGCTTTATAAAGGGAGTAGCTGCTGATGTGTCTCCTCAGGAATGACCTATTTACAACAAATTCTGTCTTAACAACTGTATTTTGAATGCATTTGTTTTTTTACTTTCTCATTACATAGAATCGGTCCTTAATATATTTAATATTTTTAGTGCCCTACAGATACCAAAGCAACGTTTGGGGTCCACCTTAAAGTAGTAGGAGACTGGACAGGTACGTAGAAAAAAAATTCATTTCAGAGACCAATATCTTTACTCAAACTTTCTGGCTTCAGCACAGTTTTACCTTGATTGCAGCATACTCTTACCAGAGAACATTTATGCTTGTTTTCTCAAAGATCTTCTTATTACATTCTTGATGGAACCTTTGCTTTATTGAGATGTGAATTTCTCCAGATAGCATGTTTCTCTAACTACTAACAGATGTTCTGATCACAATTTACTGATTTGCAGTCATCCTCGAGCTTCTGCCTCTTTTTCTTATTTTTTTGGTAGCCTGCTGCCCCTGTACAATGCCTCTGTACATAGTAGAGACTGCAGAAATGCTGAAATGTGCAGCTCTCAGATAAGAGGATTTTAATGCCAGCGATTTGAATGGCTGCCAGGTCAATTAACACCCATGGAACAGTGAGATTACAGGTTGCTTTCATGTTCTTCCATGCTCTTCCATTGCTCTCTGAATGTCCTCTAGACCAAAGGTGTAAACCAAGATTCCCTGCAGAGAAAAATGTTAATTTCCTGCTCCCTATACAGTTGTATACTCAAGTACTAGTTGTCATCATTGCTTGGCAGCTGACTTTCTTCTGCTTAGCATAGCATTTCCTTGTAAGGAAGATAAATAAACAACACCATCTTGTTCATTTCCTAAGAAGCAATGTTTTCTGTGTTAATTTGTTTTGGCTCATGTTTTTGTGGAATGGAGTCAAATAAACTAAACCCTAAAACGGATTAGACCGGTTCAGGGAAAATAAGTGCATCAGTGTCTGTTCAAGTTACTGGTCCAAGTGCGTACTCAGCTGTGGAAGTGTCTGAAACTTTAATAGGAAAAGGTTAAGAGGATAATGCCAGTTATACGTATAATGCATAATTACCCCAGTTTTCTGGCCTTTCTCAAAGCATAAATTGTTGTCCAGACAGTGGCAGAGTATGGGCCTAACTGGTCTTCATTCTGCCTCGGTATGCTGCTTTTGTGCACCCCTCCTCCCTGGGCTGGGGCAGGACAGTAGGTACCCCAAATGGAGCAGAGAAGTGCTAGCTAAATGAGTTTTCCAAATGAAGTGGCATCTTTGAAGTCTCTCCCTCAGTGCTGTGAATTGCTCTTTAATAGTATTCAAATGTCTTTCTTCCAGCTCTGTATCTATATTCTCCACTATGAAGCTGGTCTGCCTAAGTGGTACTGTGGACACTGTCCTAAGTAGAACTCATGACACTGTTACAATACAGAGAGCATGTGTTGTAGTATAGCTACACAGGGCTATCTCCCCATGGGTCAAATGTGCTGGCACGAAGCACGCTGTTTACCCTGCATCTCTACCAAGCAGCCCTCTTCGCACTCATTCCCTTAAGCCCTCTGACAGTTAATGGTCTCTAATCTTCTGACTGTTTGAGGAGAATACTGAAGAAGTACTAAGACATTTGACACATTCCTTATAATCTTTCTTAAGCATATTTTAATGGCTGCTCCCAGAAACGGGATATTGGGCTGGGAGAGTTTTTATGCAGCATTCTGTCATTTAAGCTCCTCTCACAACCTATTCCCTCAGCCTTTATCCTATTTATTCAGATTCTCTATGTATCACATTTTCACTTTCCTGACAGTTTATGCGTGATACCAAAGAGAGTTAGCAATTTATTTTAGAAATCTCAATTACAGGCTTAAATTAAATGGATGCAAGAAGAGTTCAGATACAGTGTGAAATACAGAGAAGAACCAGTTCATTTGAACTGGTTCAAATGTCTCCTCACTGAGTTCAGTTTCTGCCGCCTGCACCTGAAACACATACAGAAAGAACAACTGCCTGCCATTAGCTGTAAGAACATGAGCTGGGGATGGATGCACAATGCTGGCAAATCAATTCTGCAAGTTATGTTTCAGGTCAACTCTCTGACACTGAGTTTCGTGTTTTGAAAATTGAATAGAATACCTTGTGGCCTTAGTGATTGTATTTTGTCAGCTGGGAAAGCAACTGTGTGTAAAGAGAAAAGATAAGGGGTAATAGAATTATCAGCTACTGGTGAGATGTTGCTGTTAATGCCAATTATCGTCCATATCCCAATACATAAAACTGTAGATTGCCAATAACTCGCAAGAAGTGGCTTCTGAAAAAAAGCAGTCCGTTTAGAATTATCTTTTCTTTCTGCACAGAAACAAGTATATAGTGGATTTTAAGGCAGTATATGTAATCATTTTCTTTTTAGAGCTGTGATTTGAATATCACAAATTGTTTTACAAAAGAAGCAGGGGAGAAAGAACAAATCTTCAGAAATTGTATCTCTAAGACCTTTGCAAAGCTAAGAGTAATGCAGATCCCCTAAGCAATGTATTTTTTGCTTTATTGAAATCAAATGGAGGTGTCTGAACTTAGAACAGTCGAGAACCTGCACTTCTCAGAAGCACTGTGTATATTTCCAATATAAATCTGAGCTCTTTCATTTCTTGACTGTGTTATGGTAGAGGTAGTAAATGTATTGTGTTTAGCATTCAAGTTTGTTACAGAAAATAGGTATACACAGGCAGTAGAATTCCTGTAATGTGGTCTTAGATGCCTATGTAGATTCTTTCAAGCGGACTGCTTCTTTTGGCTTCCTTTGTAGACTTCTGGCCTATTGCTGTGTCTGTTTCAGGAGACAAACCAGGCCCCAAGCATGCCTTTTTACTCTTCATTGATTTTAAAGGAAGTCAAGTTCTGCATCTCTACTTTAGAGGTAGCTTAGTTAATTGAAGGGATCTTTAAAGGTCATCTAGTTCAACCGTCCTGCAATGAACAGGAACATCTGCAGCTTAACCAGGCTGCTCAGAGCCCCAGCCTGACCTTGAGTGTCTCCAGGGATGGGACATCCATCACCTCTCCCACCTCTCTGGGCAGCCCTGTATCTACTGTGGGTTTCCGCTGGCTGATGTCAGTAATGGCAAATGTGAAGCCGTGCAGCTTGGACTAGCTCTCATTTGGAGCTACACCAGCATATCTTACAGTGCAGCTGCCCAGGAGGTAGTGCTGGTGGGTGATGGCTTTAAACCTTGCAGATCACTGGTGTCTCTGCAAGGGTTTCTGTATGAATCCGTAATGAGATCTGTAGATGAGCTGATGAGCAGGTTTTGCTATTAATGACCTTCTGAACGCCTGTTCTGTTCTGCTTCTCTCATATGTCTTTGGTCAGCTTTTTCTCAGTCAGCTTTGAGAAATTTGGTGTCTTAATATTTACAGAAGGATTTTAGGTTGTTTTTTCCTCACTTGACGCCTAGTTTGTCCTAGCATTGTCAGCTGTCAGGGTGTCCTTCCTCGCCGCTGCATCAAGTGCCACTTGTTTAGTCTGAAAGCTGACATTCCATCTGGCACCTCTGGAGGGAAAAGGAGAGAACCCACAGACCATGCTTGATGTGTCTAGCCTCTCAACGGCAGTGAAGAAAGCACAGCAATGCAAGACAATGTGTCTCATTTACTGGCCAGACTTCAGGGTGCTAGACAGAAAGTGGTACTGATGGTGTTGAAATGACAGACGTCTGAAGCCTCACAACGTGATTGTGTGGGAAACAAGCAGACAGCACTCGGAAGTGTTGAGGTGAACTGCATGTTTTAGGGCATCAGAACATTGCTGTTATGCTGCAGGCTGTTCTGGTACAAATTGGGCTGGGATTGTGTTTAAAACACTGCTGCTGTTCTGTGCTCTGCAGTAATTTTTATCTTGTAGTGAAATCCTCCTGCCTTTCAGGTGGTTATGATCTTGGAGAGTATTTGCAAAACCTATCTGCCATTCTGAGCAGCAAGATACCAATTATGAAAGCCCTGTAAAGCACTTTAATATGACCCATTAAATCAGAGACTGCTATCCACTCAACTTAGTACACATTGTGGCAACAGGAGGTGCTGAGCTAGAATCACAACAGATCTACGGGGGATGCTCCAAAAGTAATGCCTCCTATGTTATTATGTTGGCCCACAATGTCAGAGGTGGATGCTGGTAGTACAGCAGTAGAGGTTGACCCTTCAGTATTCCGCTACATTTTTTTGCTGAGTTACAGATGGTAGCAGAGAAGCAGTCTGACAAAATTGCATCTGACATGGAAGTGTGTATGAAGCAAAGGTGTGTCACCGAGTCCCTCCATGTGGAAAGAATGGCACCCAATGACATTCGTGGATGCTTTCTCAGCATTTTTGGAAATCAAACAGGGGATGTGAGCACAGTGATGCTATGGATGATGTGTTTCTGCAGTGGTGGTGGTGCTGTGAGAAATAAGTTACGCTCTGAATAGCCATGCACAGCTGTACTTCTGAACCTGTGTTTATAGTTTGTCATTCCATAAATGACAATGACTATATTGAGAAATAGTGTTTCATAGCTGAGAATTTGCTCTGGGAAATAGTGCTGTTGTGCTCTTTGTATTCATTGTAGTTTTCATGGAAGTAAATAAGAAATGTTACTTTTGGAGAGACCTATGTATTTTAGTGTATTGATCTGCATTGCTGTAGAAGGCAATGTCTCACCAGGAAATACGGATGTTATCTTAATTCTTCCTGCTGGAGATGAGGATAGGCATGGTCAGGAGGTCCTTGAGGTTGTGAATTTTTATCAGAGACTGTTATAGTCTTTTTTTCTGGAAGATCCAGGTTTGGAGCAGGTAGTTTCAGGAAAAAAATATTATGCAGTTGAAAACAGCAGAGCTCTTTTCCCAGAACATGGCAAATGTATGAAAACATGGATCTTGTTTAACTATGCACTAAAACCTCAGATAGCAAGGAGTACACAAAACAGAATTCTCATCTAGATCTCTAATTTCTTGAACAGGCTTAATTTGTAATGCAGTTGTTTGACCTGTTGGAGATGGACTGAGGATTTTTTGACTGCCCTCCAGAAGACAATAAACATGCCTTCTAAGTAGCTCCGAAGGAGGCATAATCTGAACTTTCTGGGCAGGGAGGGTTTGTCATATCCTTCATTACCCTCCTGAGACCTTGAAGCTCCTAATACAGAGAAGATCTGAAGCTCACTGCACAT